GTTTCTGACCCGACATGCTTTTATCTCTTTCTTCTCGAAGCTCACAAAATTCCATTTTAATCTAATACAGCGTGCAGAAAATGCTTGCATTTGTTTATTTCGGAAGTTAACATAATTGAAATTTACTGCGCATGCTATTTGCAAGTGCCCGCTGCAGAAACTGATGACGTTTATCGTGCAAGCTACAGTAACTGATGACGCTTACCGTAAAATCTATTTTAGGTACCCGTTTTTGGTTTTTCTGTTGCTATATTTAGACAGACTATTTATAACAAGCAATTACTATTGGTTAGCGTGTCCAAAATGTCGATCTACCAGTTTGGCGAATGTATTTTGTACATGAACGGCAATAATAAAAAAGTAGTGCTTTTTGCAAACCTATTTTCATGTAGTGTTAAAGAAATTAAGTTACTGGGTATGTTATTATCGTTGGTGTTATAAATATAATGGTTTCAGCGAACTTAACTTATGAGGAGGTGCAAAAGCGGTTTGTCAGCCTTTTTGTATGATATTTATAAAAACGCAACATATTTAGCTGACTGGTCTGTAAAGATATCTATTGTGTGTTTACTAGTTCAGCTAAAATATTTACAAATAGATCAGTACAAATTTTCAGTCTGTTGGTGTAATCACCTTATCAATAACAAAATATGCTACTAAAACTTGACATTCCAGCCACTCAAAGACTTAAATAAGCCTTGGAAATAGCACATGATATTATTGTAAAGGGCTATAAAAAACCTAGAGATAAAAGATATTGAAATCATACTTCTTATGAAAACAGTACAATATACATGCATATTTCTCACAGGTAAGTGATTTTATGCAAAATAGAGTGGTCTTCATAGTCTTTTATAGTGAATATAATTCTGGACCCCTAAAACTCAGGCCTGGACCTCTACTTTTCTAGGCTGTGCATCCACTGGACCCCTAAAATTTCAAAGAGATGTAAAACCCTGTAAACGTTTTAAAACGGAACCTATACTATTTGTATCTGCTATTCGCGTAACCTGTCGATTATCGATAACGCTCCGCCCCCTGTTGAGGCATCAATGAGGGAAATCGGTAGTTCCATATATCCGTGAATTACAGGTCCATACTGGTCCATACTTCTCGTAATACATGTATCGTACAACTAACGTACATCTTTTATGAATATCTCAACATTTAGCCTTTTTTATAAATTAAGAAATTGTCGGCCAATGTACGTAACATAATGTATGAAACATAAATAATTAAGCATAGCGGCAAATCGCACGACCACGGGGTTGATTAAAAATGTAGTTGCTAAAATATCCATAATGTGTGAAAATAATTTGTCTGTCCCGTTTATCTGATAGATATTACGTTGAGTTGATAGACTTTTGTACGGATTCAAGGGCTTACTTTACATTCAACCTCGTTTTCTAACAATGTCAAGTAAAACAACAACAAAAACAGACAACATTTTTTTTATGTGAACGCCTATGTGACTTGGGGTAAGGTGTCCCTGACAAATTTCTAAACCATTTTAGATTGTCTAAGGATGATTATTTCTCTATAAATAAAAAAAGATATTAAAAATATATTCTCAGTGAAAATAAATTGTTCGCCAGTAAATCGGACACAGTACTAATAAATCTGGGACAAAGTATGAAATTTATTGTCTATCCCGGTAGAAACTGGATCTCTATGCCGTGCATAGATGATATTCATAATAGAAGTCAAGAAGGCCAGATCATAATGATCGAGTAATACCTTTTATTTCTATTAAAATATGTGAAGCATTATCAATTTGGTGGAAAAAATATATAATATCCCGTTCTTATTTGTACATCTACCATGAACTTTAAAAGGCTGTCAGAAGCTTAGTTTTTTGTTATTTTATTTTATATTTTAACGGAATTTCATACACGAATACACAGGCAGAGTGACACTGGTATAATACAATAATAATGCTGATGATAATAATAATAAACTTCAAAAAGGAAACAATTAAATACCCCGCTAGCGGTGCGCAAATGCATTCCATTTCCCCCCACTGAGTGCCTCAAATTTTACCGATAGTCACGTGACATGTGTGACAGATACCAGACGGACAGTAAATCACGTTAAGAATTGAAGAAATTTCTGCTATAAACTGATATTAATCAGCAGCTTTTTAATTGGTCAGATGTCACTGGGTCATAAAATGTTGTTAGAGTATGTTACCGCAACTTGTGACCCTCTCTGGTGCGATATTTGTGTATTATGCAATTATTTAGCGTGAAACATAGGGGTCCGAGAGAGAACAGCCGATTTATGACACTTCGTTTGATGTGGGTCGGACTAACTTTGAATCGGCATAACTTTTTTAATAATCAAGCAATTAACATGCGGTTTAAAGCACATGAAAGGAAATTCATTTACGGAGGGAACCGTGTCAGGGATTTTTGTTTGCTCAATAGGCGACTTAATTATCTTTAATTACGTAATATGTATGGTGAAAAAAGTCGCATAAAATGTTTGACGTTACGTAATATTTTTTTGAGAAAAGATAGAAAAAATTTGAGACACAGTTCCTTAGATAATATAAGTATGGTTATTTTCCAAAAGTTTGATGACAAAAAATGAAAAAATGACTTTGATATGATGATTTAAAATTTTAGGACTTTTATTCAAAATCAATCATTTACAAAGGCATTTTTTTTCAAATATGTTATTTTTTATGATGATCAACGACATTTAATGCACAAAGATTAAATAAATAACAATTATTACTAAAATAACTTTGTTTAAATGACATTTATGTGAGTACCACGGAAAGTGTCTGTTGTCACCTTAAAGCTGAAGTAATCACATTTAATTAAAAAATGAGTAATTCTACTTACCTTGATTCCATCTCTGTATATAAAATCATAATTAACAAAATTGAAAAAAGTCTTAGTATAATTATAAAAAAATATATATATTAAACTCTTGATAAAAATGACTTCAAATGAATATAATAATTAAATTCGATTGATTATTATATGTTTTGTTCTTGTTTTCTATGTATTCCATTGTTTGTCATTTGGTATTCCCATCCACACGATTGTTTTTTTATCAACATTTAAAAAATAAGAAAATGAATAATGAATTAAGAAAAAAAAATGGGGCCGATCTGACTTGAGGCTGATTTTCACTTGGGGCCGATTTAAAATAAGCCAAAAAGAATCCCTGCAAGTGAATCATGCCCTTGATATTGGGCAATCGGGATAATTTCAAGTCATTTCAACCCCAATATTTTTAGGTCCCAAACTGCTGAAGATGTTTTGACCCCAGACATAACAGCCCTCAGGGCATGACGAATCCACATGTCCGCACCGTGGCTCGTATTTACGAATAGAAACTGACTCCCAACAAGTCTATTTTCCAACAGCTCTCGTCCTCCAGGACAGAATAATTGCAATTACATATAAATATGGGACTTTGGGTTGTTTAATAAACTGTTACAATATACAAGTTTTTCTGAACAAGTATATGGCTAGTCCTATAAATATGTCACTTTGAGATAATAAATTGTTTTATCTAATAATGCAAAAGAATTAGTTCTATTATTGTTAAGGGAATTTGCAAATTAAGACATGGTTAAATGTATGCGTGTTAACCTGGTACTGTTTCATAACGGGTCTGATTCAAAACTTTAATGCCGTAACAGATGCAAGAAAAAAAAGTGGCATATATAAAGTGTTGGAAATCTAAGAAACCTAGAGCTGTCATTGATTAAGTACAAAGCATATCAACAATATATCGAAATTATCGATATTGGATGACAAATATCAACGATACATCGATAATTACCATAATTACTTGTATGTCATTCACTTTCATAACTTCAGTTAAAAACATGTTCTGTTCAGTGTTTTGTTTATAAAAACCCATTGCATGATTTTTTCCAGACCATATTTTTTGGAATTGTTGCTGTGAAATATTTTCGCTATATAACAACAGCATAATAGACATATAGATAACTGCTTCTGTATATGTTTTGGGTGAATTTTCTTCATTTCTTGACATTTAATTTAATTTGTCAAACTTTTTGATTTTTAGCTCACCTGTCACAAAGTGACAGGGTGAGCTTTTGTGATCACTTTTCGTCCGGCGTCCGTCCGTCCGTTTAATTCCATGCAGAACTCTGGTTGCCATGGCAACCAAAAGAAAAAACTTTAAATATCTTCTTTTAAAAAACCATAAGAGCTAGAGCTTAGATATTTGGCATGAAACATCTTCTAGTGAATGTCTACCAAGTTTGTTCAAATAAAAGCCCTGGGGTCAAAATTGACCCCGCCCCAGGGGGTCATAGATTTTCCCTATATGCATATAGTAAAAACTTAAAAAATCTTCTTTTAAAGAACCCAAAGAGCTAGAGCTAAGATATTTAGCATGAAACATCTTCTTATGAGTGTCTACCAAGTTTGTTCAAATAAAAGCTCTGGGGTCAAAACTGGCCCCGCCCCAGGGGGTCATTGATTTTCCCTATATGCGTATAGTAAAAACTTAAAAATCTTCTTTGGAAAAACCCAAATAGCTAGAGTTTATATATTAAGCATGAAACATCTTTAAGTAAATATCTACAAAGTTTGTTAAAATAAACGCCCGGGGGTCAAAACTGGCCCTGCCCCAGGGGTGACATTGTTTTTAACTATATGTGTATAGTAAAAACTTTAAAAATCTTCTTTTAAAAATGCCAATGAGCTAGAACTTAGATGTTTAGCATGAAACATCTTCTTATGGGTGTCTACCAAGTCTGTTCAAATAAACAAATAAAAGCCCTTGGGTAAAAATTGGCCTGGGGTGGGGGGGCCTATATACAGGTGAGCGACCTCAGGGCCATCATGGCCCTCTTGTTTAAAATGTGTATCAATTATTGCTTGACTTAAAAATATCAACAATACATCGATATTGTCTTTATCAATGACAGAGCTCTCTAAAGGAACCTGAAATGATTGTATGACATTCATAATTAATATATTGTTACTATTTCTTTTATTTATTTTCAGGGGCATCTTCAGGTGGTGGTGGTGACATCAGTTTGTCTATTGAGGAGACAAAGTAAGTTTTAGCATTAATGGTTGCTTTTTCTGGGATGGTTTGACAATGTTTTCAACTTTATTTATAGTCATAGTGTAACAGATCATTAATAGAGTAAAAAAAGTTAAAGATGGGTACAGAATACCAGATCTAATAATGATCTATAATTAGATATACTTCCTGTCATGTACCAGTCAGTATATTGCACAATTGGCTGTAAAAATGAGCATGATGCGGAAAAATTGGCAGCAAAGGGCATGTCTAAAATCTAGTCAGATTAAAGTGTGACTGAGGCAGGGTACAAGTCAGATTCTGTTACAACTGAAACAGGTCTTCAAACCAAACCTGACAAACAGTTCTCTTGACAAAGTCTGGTTAAGATATTGTTTAAATATTATTATAGAATGTGTAATGTACATTGATTATAGTCATGATTAAACTTTTATTACCTTTCAGTAAATTGAGGGCAAAACTTGGTTTAAAACCTTTGGAAGTGTCAACAGGAGCACCAGGTTAGAAATAGAATATATTTTAATTATTTGAGCATAACAATACTTTATTGTAAACATTATATCATTTTAATCTATAATTTTTGTAGTTTGACAAAACCTGTTTAATAACAAAATATGTGTTACCTATTGATAAAGTTTTACTATCACATAACATTTTATATTTATGCCCCCACTTCAAAGAAGAGGGGGTATATTGCTTTGCATTTGTCTGTCTGTCGGTCAGTCCGTAGACCAATTGGTTTCTGAGTGATAACTAAAGAACGCTTAGGCCAAGGAACTTTAAACTTGGTACGATAATTGTACATAACCAGTAGATGACCTCTATTGATTTTGGGGTCAAGGGGTCAAAGGTCAAGGTCACATTGACCTTGTACGTAAAAACAGTTTCCGATCAATAACTAAAGAATGCTTAAGTCTAGGAACTTCAAACTTGGTATGATCTTTGGTCATGACCAGTAGATGACCACTATTGATTTTGGGGTCAAGGGGTCAAAGGTCAAGGTCACATAGACCTTGTAGGTTAAAACGGTTTCCAATCAATAACTAAAGAACGCTTATGCCTAGGAACTTCAAACTTGGTATGATCATTGGTCATGACCAGTAGATGACTCCTAATGATTTTGGGGTGAAGAGGTCAAAGGTCAAGGACACATTGACCTTGTAGGTAAAAATGGTTTCCGATCAATAACTAAAGAACACATAGGCCTAGGAACTTTAATCATGGTTTTGATGATTGTTCATGACCAGCAGATGACCCCTATTGTTTTTCGGGTCAAGGGGTCAAAGGTCAAGGTCACATAGACCTTGTAGGTAAAAACAGTTTCCGATCAATAAAACTTAGGCCTAGGAACTTCAAACTTGGTAAAATGATTGCACTTGACCAGAGGATGACCCCTCATGATTTTGGGGTCAATGGGTCAAAGGTCAAGGTCACATTTATCTTGTTGGTAAAAACGGTTGATGATCAATAACTTGATAACCCATGAGCTGTTGGCCCTCAAACTTAGTAAGTGCATTTGACTTGACAATTAGATGACCCCTATTGATTTTAGGGTCAAAGGGTCAAAGGTCAAGGTCAATATTAACCTTGTTTGTGAAAACAGTTTTCAATCAATAACTTGACAAGCCCATAGCTGCTGGCCCTCTTTGTTGGTGCATTGGTCTTGGCCAGTAGATGACCCCTATTGATTTTGGAGTCAGCGGGTTAGTCTCATATTGACATTGTACTTAAAGACAGTGTCTGACCAAAAACTCAACAACTCAAGTTGCCTAGGTTGATATCTTTATATTAAGCTAAAAATGCTTTTCGTATACACATTTGAAGGTCTTATGTAATATAACAACTTAGCTGTCATTAATGAGGCGTACATGATTCATAAAATGTATGCATATATTATTTAATAAGATTTGTAATAACTTTGTCATAAAATTGCTGCACACAACCTATGTGATCACAATGATTATTACCTAGTGACTAGTCATGACCAGTAGATAACCCTTGTTGATTTTTTGTTCACTAGGTCAAAAGTCAGTCATAATAACCTGATCACATGACTAATTGGCTGCCGATAGGGGGCATACATGTTTTACAAACATATCTTGTTCTTTCTTCTTGTGAATATCTCAAGGTCAATGTTTCTACTCTGATGCTTGAAGCTGGAATGTCTCCAAATGACCTTTACAGTTTCAATGTGACTTTAAATCAAACAAACAAACTTATCTTAAGTTGTTATTGTCACTTCTAATGAGGGAATGCTATTTAATACTTTAATTTATTTACATTTCAATAGCTTTCATATAAGATTTAATCTTTATAACTATTTCTTTTTCTATCTTTGTAGATTCAGAGAAAGAATCTTTAAGAGATGCAGTACACAAGCCAGCAGAGAGCTGGACACAGGCTAAAAAGACTGAAAAAATTAAAGACAAATTAGAGAGGTCTAAACAACGGAGAGAAATAAGCAGCAAATTAGAGTAAAACATGTTTTTGTACTACCAGTATCTTATTTGTTATTTGAAACAGCATTGCCATTGTTGTGGACAAAATGAATGAAAAATAGAATTTTGATGTAATAATTTAAACTATTTTTTATTTAAAAGTTTTCTAAGGAATATACAGCTTAAATGCTGAAAAAATATTCATCATTTTTTTGTCTGTGTCTGTGAAAACTTTTTTTCTTTCTTTTTTTTATCTGAACCCAAACATAAAATTTGGTGCTTATGTTTAATATTAACATTAGTTTATATACTTTCTTGATGTGTAAATTTGCTAAGTTATACTATATTAACCCTTTCCCCCATGAGCATATTGTGAAAAATGGCCGTTTTCACTAAAAAGCCTCCTGTTACAAGTTCAAACTGCTATGAAACTATGAAAAATGCTTCAATACTAATCAAACTTGGCACAAATGTTGGCTGGACCATTGCCTTTGTAACGACATGCTCAGTCTTAAATTTCCTGTTACCATGGCAACGAGGGGACATCTCAAAATTGCCAAAAATCACTATTTTGCCTCGATTTTTTCCATCAAAATTTATTTCAAAGTGCTGCAACTTCTCAAGGGATTGAGATAGAGTCAAAGGCTTTTCAGCGTTGGTTACATGTTACATTATGATCGACCTGGGGTCATTTTTAGCCTCTCACAAGTCCAAAATTTTCTTGGCGATGAGGGGGACTCCCCCCCCTTCAAACCCCCCTTACAGAAGGGGGTACATCCCCCATCTGGCAACCCCCTGATGTATCTATTGGATGGGGGGCGGTGCCGAAAAAGTGCTCATTTTTTTTAGCAACATTTCTCAAACGAAAACATGTGTTTGGGGCCCAAATAGGACATTTTTTCACTATTTGAGGCCTAAAAAAAGGGGGGGGGGGTCGAAAGTGCGTTGTTTCGCGTATATATGAGGTAAAGGGTTGAGATAAAGCAGACTGGCAGAATAGTTTCTATCGCAATAAGTTGCCTTTGTGCATCATAACATATGAGTAATTACTTGTGAACAAATTAAGATGATATTTGGTTGAGAAATTCTTACTTGTTTATAAAACTTTAGTTTTGTTTTCTTTGTTATTATGTAATAACTATCTAAAACTTTCTCACTTTGAAAAAAGAGGAATGCCATAAGATAATTTGAATTAATGTTTTTATCTTTGTTGAGGATTATTTTATTACCTATGTATTTTCTACTATATTACCAGTAAGATAAAGACATTAGGAGAGAGTGATTCAGATGAGGATGCTGCAACATGGGTGAGGAAAAACAGAATGAAACAGAGGGAAAAGGACAGAGCAGAAAAAACTGTATGTTTAAGTTTGAACCAAATCTGATTTAGGCTAGTTGAACATATATGTATTTTATTAGGTGAAGACTTATTCATATAAATGGTTTAGAGTACCTAATATCAATAGTTACATTTTTGTCACCATGAAATCTTGTGGACATTCTTTTTATGTCATTTAAATTGAAAATAGTAAACCATTGTGAAATATCTAGATTAAATTAGCACTCTTGGTCTCAAAGATAGGATTCTGCCAAAGAAACTTGAATATTTTATGTTAAAAAGTCTATAATGATTTTGCCTTGCAATGAATAGAATCATAATATTGCCCTCTATGAAAATCTGTCAAGTTATAATTGTTGAACATTGTCGTGGTAAAATGTTTCAGGCTCGTATGTTAGAGGAGATGGATGAAGAATTTGGGATAGGAAATCTTGTAGAAGAAGAATTCAAACAGGATAAAACAAAGGTATGTACAATAATAGATATACATACTCAGGTTTCTTTTTCACATAAAAGTCCTGAATATAGTACTTGATTTGGCAGTGTTTTTTTTCTGGTGTCATTTTTTAATTTATTAGCTCGACTTTTCTATGAAAAGGGGAGCTATCCTACTCGCCCCGGCGTCGGCGTCGGCGTTAGCGTTAGCGTTAGCGTTAGCGTTGGCGTCACACCTTGGTTAAGTTTTTCGTACCACCCCACTTTATTTCAGAAGTATTACAAGTATGGCTTTGAAACTTACCATACTTGTTCACCATCATAACCTCCATCTACAGACAAGAGTACATAACTCTGTCAAGGTTTTTGACAGAATTATGGCCCTTTTTTGACTTAGAAAGTGTATTGAGCTTGGTTAAGTTTTTTGTACCACCTCACTTTATTTCAAAACCATTGGAGGTATTGCTTTTGAAACTGACCATACTTGTTTACCATCACGACCTTCATCAACAGACAAGAGGACATAACTCTGTCAAGGTTTTTGACAGAATTATGTCCCTTTTTGACTTAGAAAATACATTGAATATGGGTAAAATCCACTTATTGCCTTAACCCTTTGAGATATTGCTTTGAAACTTTTAATGCTATTTCACATCATTACCCCCATCTGTACGCAAGAGAAGGTAACTCTGTCAAGGATTTGTTTTAAAAATTAAGGCCTTTTATCGACTTAGAATCTTGGTTAAGTTTTTTGTACCACCTCACTTTTTTTCAAAACCATTGGAGGTATTGCTTTGAAACTGACCATACTTGTTTACCATCACGACCTTCATCAACAGACAAGAGGACATAACTCTGTCAAGGTTTTTGACAGAATTATGCCCCTTTTTGACTTAGAAAATACATTGAATATGGGTAAAATCCACTTATTGCCTTAACCCTTTGAGATATTGCTTTGAAACTTTTAATGCTATTTCGCATCATTACCCCCATCTGTACGCAAGAGAAGGTAACTCTGTCAAGGATTTGTTTTAAAAATTAAGGCCTTTTATCGACTTAGAATCTTGGTTAAGTTTTTAGTACCAGTCCACTTTTTGACTGAACTGTTTGAGATATTAATTTGAAAGTTGGAATACTTGTTTACAATCATGATTCCCAAACATGTCCAGGAGAAGGTAATTCTGTCAAAGATTTTATTTGAATTATGGCCCTTAACTGTCAATGTTTTGTATTATAGGCAAGCACTAAAAAAGTCGAGCGCGCTGTCTTACGGACAGCTCTTGTTAAATTTGTTCTTGAGATTCAGGTAATTAAATAATTGCAATACTTGTAGTATTGTAGTGTTGAATATTGAATACTGCTCAAATCAGTGCTGGGGCATGAGAGATGTAACATTTTATACTGTCATGGAATAACTGAACTGCTTATTTTTGTTTTCATGACTCACTAGGGATCTCATCTTTAAGGATTTTGATGTTACTCTATAATTAGTTTCATACTTATAAGGAATGAAGTATTCTAAATGTGAACATTTCAATTTTTAAACAAAGGTGTTTGTTATTTAATAGGAAAAAAAATGTACATGGATGAATTATTTATCTTAAACATATGCCTGGAAAAAAAACACCCTAAGATATAGCTTTATAATATTATGTTTTTAACTTTTAACTTTTCTGGTCAAAATTGGAAGAAACAACATTGCAAAAGAATCATAATTCACTCATTGAGATTTTTGTAGTTTTACAATTATTAATTATGCTGATTTATTCATATACCATTTATCTATTTAAGCGCTATTCATCCAAAGATTTGAAAGGATTAAAAGTTCAACATGATGTAGGCAGTTTTAAAGAAGGACAGACTGTGATACTTACATTACAAGATAGAGGTATGTAAACTGTCCAGAATTACATTTACATGATCTGTAATCCAAAATATGTGGCCACAAGGAGAATATAGAAGCACTAATGTTAATACATCATGTGATGAATAATGATTTTATTTGAATTTAGTGTTGTTTTACAAGAAGGGGATACTATTGCATATTGAGATATGACACAACTTGTGTTGGTTGTAGTAGTGTTACTCCATTGTGTAAGTGTTAATAGTGTAACAACATGTGTTGGTGGTTATAGTCTAACACAACTTATGTTATTATTATTACAGGTGTGTTGGATGAGGGTGATGAAGCTGAAACATTGGTGAATGTTAATATGATAGATAATGAGAAAGCCAACAAGTTTGTAGAATTGATGAAGAAGAAACCTGATTATAATCCTTATGATGATGCTGAAGAAGATGAATATGGATTGGTAAGTTATATATACATAAAAATTTATAATGATTGGGTTCTGTTTGACTTTCTTATCATTTGTTTGTGTTTTTGACTTTCTTGACTTTTTTTTTGTAAAAAAAGAAAATCAGTATTTTAGTTAGATGGAAATCTGCATTTTCCCATCAAGCCATCATGGATTATGTGCCTGTACCTATTTGTAACTGCCCCACAATCAGTGGTATAAATATTTAACTCTAAAATTTAGGAAAAACATTTTACAACTTACCTGGCATATAACATAAGACTTTTAACCTACTTTCACCCTGTATACCATAAAACATGCCACTGTTTGATTCTAAGAGTACATATGTTTATTGTGACAAAAGCCTCTTCTAGTTTATCATTACAATGTAATATCTACTTTCAGTTTAAACCGAAAGATGTTTTAGCCAAGTATGATGATGAGATAAGAGGAGAGAAGAAGAAAGATTTCCAGCTTGGTGCTAGGGGAACATATAATTCTGAACAAGACAAACAGATGGAGAGAATTACGGCTGAACTCAGGGCACAATCTGTTAGTATAATTACAAAATTAAGATTTCTGCTGTCTGTTTTATTGCGCATTGTCAGTTTGAATAGAATATAGTACATTTTGTTTAAGCAGGATTGCCTTAATTTTGTTTTACTTATTTGCAATTCTTTAATTCAAATCCAGCAAAATTGAATAAAGGTACATGTATAAGCAAGGCATGTTTAAATGTGTAAACATTTTTCTTTAGTTTTGCAAAGCATCATTTAAGCCTGAAGAAGTTTACAAATAATTTCGTAACTGAATCTTTTGTCATTGATAATTTATATGGTAAACCATTTTAATTAGCTGTACATGAGTTAAAAATGACATGTTTATGTGATGATGTTTATGTGATGATTAAGGGATAGACTAAAGTTGTTATATGTTTTCAGCAAACTTTGTCATCTCAATTGACATTGGCATCAGAATATATGACAGCAGAAGAGGCGGTACGTTGAATTTTTGTGAAAATTACTTCATATTTTATTTGCAAATAATAACTTCTACTAAATTGTTTTGCAAGCCAAGCATGCACTTCAACTGTTAGCAAAATTTGTGTATCATTTTAAAATAATTTATTCAATGTTGATTATTTCATTTCAACATAATTTATTCATTTTTAGTTATTACAAATTTTTTGTTCGGATAAAGCCTTTGCATCATGAATTTTTCTATGTGTTAATAAACATACAAGGAATAGAATATTATCATGTTATGATTCATAAAGGTTTCCTAATAAAGTAAAACTTGAATAGTTCCATGAAATACCAGTCTGCTTACTGTCGATATGAATTTTATTGTAAGGTACACTTAAACATTCATTGTTTTTTTTACAGCAAGCTAAGTTTAGGAAAGTGAAGAAAAAAGTCAGGAAAATAAGAAAGAAGAAAATGTTGAAGGCAGATGATCTTCTTCCATTGCCAGATGAAACTTCCATGAACTGATGGTTCAAGGTGATGACGACTTTTTTATATGATATTCTACATTGATATATGCAAATATTTTGCAACTAACAAAACTTTTGTAAATTTGATATTTATTGATTCAGAGCTCTGGCATTTGAATAAATTGGTTTTATATTGGGTTTTCGACAAACTTCTCAGGATTAGTCAGTACCAACCCTAGTTGTGTTTATCTCCGACCTATTTTGGTTAGCTGCAGAAAATGGTCACCATATCTAAAAACAAAAAAACCTTCTCCTGTTTTCACAGGTCAAACAGGGGATTTTGACAAATTTTCACGGGATTGATTAGTATAAACCAAGCTTAGCATATTGCTGGCATGTTCTGCTTCACTGCACAAAATAGCTGCCGGATGTAAAAATATAAAAAAACCTGTCTTGCTTTCACAG